TATATATATAGAATTTGGTTCAAATACAATGCATTGCATTTGTACAACCAATGCAACCCATAAATTGAAATATTTATGGATATGATGAGAGATATATATAAGGTTGAGTTCATGTGAGACCAAAGGTTTTTCGTGGGACCCGTAAGACTAATTTATGTTCATTGATCAACTTTATAAGCTAATAATCTAATGGTCTAAAATTGCATGGTGACAATTTTGTGATTATTGAGAAGTTTCGTGGCAATTTTATGATTATGAATGTTCAGATGGTAGATCTAATCAAAGGGTTGAGAACTGGTCTAACGGATTTCACAAAAAATTCTTGTTCTCATATGATCCCAAATCTATATCTGTCTCTATATATATATATATTTAAAGCAACCGATGGATCGAGAATATGAAAGTATATGATATCTGATGAAAATCAAAGTTTGACTGAAGTGAACACATAAGCTGCATATGCTGCAAGTATACCTCATGCAAAAGGAAAATGCTTTGTTCCTATCTACACTGCCACGTTAAAAGATGATTCGAAAGTGGAAACCAGATATAATGTTCACACACTCCACTCACCCACACCCACCACGATAAAAATCACCTAACAACCATAACGGTGATGTTTGATTGATTTGAGCTTGGCTTCAAAAGTCAAAAGTATCAAGAAGTCTCGGGTTTAAATCCAATGAGGAATAAAAATCCCCTATTTGATTCTATCTTTGTTCCTTCCGTTTGAAGAAAGGAAGGATCCCAAAGAATCGATCGGGGGGGGGGGGGGGGGGGGGGGGGAGGGGAGTTACTGTCTATCGTTGGCCTCTATGGTAGAATCAGTAGGGGTAAAGATGTGTGAATACCGGTTATTTTGGAATGTACCGCTTGTGTTTAAAACGGTGTTAATAAAGCATCAACGGGCATTTCCAGATATATTACTCAAAAGAACCGGCACAATACGCCTAATCGATTGGAGTTGCTAAAATTMTGTCCATATTGTTACAAACATACGATTCACGCGGAGATAAAGAAATAGATCGAACCGAGCACCGCCGCCCTTATCTTACAAGGAAAGGGAAAAAATGACATTATATATATAACATATTTCACGGAGGTTCAAATGTGGTGACTCCGGGCTATCTGCAAAGCGGGTGGTCGTCCTAGGATTAGTCGGCTTGCATAGTGGGTTGGATATCCAGGTTAATAAAAAAAAAAACAAAAAAAAAAAAACATCTAACTAAGGTTCACCAATTTATCTCTCGACTATCAAAATGACATAGTAAAATTGTTGGTAAACATTTCTTATCTGATAAGCGTTAATCAAGGATGGACCTGTTAAGCCTCAAGTGGGGTCACATATACCCGCTCAACTTATTCTCGTAAGTAGAGTTTCTTTTGAAGCATGAAAGGTGCACCCGCTAAACTTTGGAGGGTGTTCTGGGATATTAAAAAATACATGAGAACATCAACCAAAAAAATAAAAAAAATCTCGAAATCAACTAAAAAACTGAAAAAGTCCATTGAAATCAAACAAAAAATTCTTTCGAAATCAACCAAAAATCTTTAAAAAAATCCCTCGAAATGGTGGAGTTCATCGGACAGCTTTACGAGACTTTGATCCACCTTAAAGATGCACTCACTTAACAAAAATCTTGGTCCACCACGGGAGCTAACCGAATAAGAGTCACCACCCTTGCTTCCGAGTAAGATTATTCATCCTTACCATAAGATTCTCGACCCTTAACATGCACATCCAGTAAAGTAAGTGACCAAGTTAGTTTTTGATAAACGACTCTTAAATATTTCTAAACATCATTATACTAAAGATTCAAGGCTACATCCGCGATGTTGCCAAAACAGTCTTTGACGTTCGAGACTTTCAAGGATGCAACAGAAATTTTTTGGAAATTCGGCAACACAGCACGGATAGTGGAACCACGTTAGTTACTTAATTGTCATTTCTTAGTCGTTTTTTACATATGTTATTATTAATCGTTCTTTTGTATTTTGTTCGATTGCTCCATATTTGTTTTGTAAATGTCACACTTTTATCGTTGTTTTTATTTAAAAATTGAAACTTTATTATTATCCGAACCGTGTAACAGTAAATAGAATTCCATGTCCAAAAGTCATAGTCACCAATATGCCCCGTCTATGCTCTCTGTCTTAAAATAAGTGTCTACAGTTCTATTTATCTTTGCCCCAAAATAAATATCCACCTTCTAAAATAAATAAACAAATTCTCAAATATACCCTTAATTAATCACAAATTGTGAAAAAGGAGAAATTAAATAAGGGCAAAAATGTCATTTATTTAATAAAAAGATGTTATAATTATAGATGTCTAAAACGATATATAATTTTAATTGTAGACACTTATTTTAAAACGAAAAAAATAATATTTAATTGAAATTATGGACTAACGCTTACTTTTGCTTGTATTATATATGTATATATTACAACACGATACATAAAGTTAGAAAATCAAAAAGAAAAACAAATCTAATAACGGATTTAATCACTAGCTACTAAAACTATATATCACACATGACAATGATAAAAATGCGGTGACTTCGGACTATCTGCAAAACAGGTGGTTGTTTTAAGATTAGTCGACTCGTATAGCGGGTTAGATATTCAGGTTAATAAAAAAAAACTATATATCACACATATAACTAAATCGTTGAAGACATATTTTACGATCCATGATACATACAAACAGTCGTTATTGCACCTAAGATGACGGGATCCACGCGATATTATCGGCGGGAAGGAAATGGCACACCGGCGAGCTGCCAGGATGACCTCCGAGCACTCGAAACGCCACGTGGTCAGGGTCCCACATGGAAGTGTTCATGTGGCAGACAGCAATAGCATCCACTCTATCTCCATTTTCACCCCCTAAAGAAATCTCAAACGCCCTATTTGACCCCTTTTGACCATGGCAATAGTAAACTGCATAAGGATAAGCCATGGTATGACAAGCCACCATGTCATGAACATGAAGCTCCAACGGCTCCTTCAAAAACGTATACCTTTGCAAAGCCGTATGATTCGAGCCCAACAAATCATGGATCTTGGTGGTCAACGCCTTCAGTTTGATCTCACCCAATATGCGACGTGTCGAATCCAGCATGGATTCTAAGGAAGTGGCGCAGAACCTGACCTCACCGGCTGTCGGCTCGAGCTCACATTGTTTTAGCGTCATCTCCATGGCTTTGGCTTGTGGTGAATCTCCGGCTAATGATAAAAACTCAAGAAGGTATGGGAGGTTTGATGAGGAGAATGGTATCGAGTCGGCTTGTTCTCTGGCTAGCAGCCGAGGAGTTGTGGAAGGGTCGTTAATGGCGAAATAAATCCACATATTCTTGCCCTTATATAAATCGTTTACATCGAAGAATACCCTTAGAGCAGGATCCAAATCATCAACTTCATTTGTTCCGTAAACTTTTATACGATTTTCTTCGTTGCGATCGTTTTTCGGGTTCTTGTCGATGATCTCACGACAACTGCAAAACTGTCATGTATCAAAAGATTCAACTCAAAACAACTTCAAGATTCTAATTAATGGGTATGAATAAGACCCAGAAATGGATCAAAACAGAAACGAATTATAGCCTTAAATGCATGAAATCATCTTCAGTAATTAACTCACCATGAAACACAAAAATAGGATTCAGATTCAGATTCAGAAGTTATCTGTGAACAATTTATGCAAAAACCATGTAGTTTTTGGGGTGTTTCGTGAGACTGGTTTGAACTTCTACTTCATGATTATGATATATCATCAAGAATTATGTATGTGTGTGTATGTGTGTGTGTATATATATATATGTATGTATGTATATATATACCTGTATAAGCAAAAGAGCATGGAAGAGGAGGGTGCAACAGGAAGAAGAAGAAGAAGCCATGGCTGGTTTTTCAGAAGAGGATACAAAGATGAGATGTGAAGTGATATGGGAGTTATATGATATGGTGTGTTTTTGGGATAAGCATCCAGTTTCTTTATTTCTTTATTTTCGGAAATTTTGAATAAATAGTATTAATTATATTAGTCAAATAAATTAAATATTATTAAATAAAACCACAAAGATGATGCATAATTGGTTTGAACTTGACTCCAAAAATCAAAATCAAAAGTATCAGGAGGTTCCAAGTTCAAATTCAAGAAGGAATAAAAATCTCTTTGACCATGAATGTTTAAATACGGTGACTTCGGGCTATTTGCAAAGCTGATGATCGTTCTGAGATTAGTCGGCTCACATAACAAGTTGAATATTCAGGTTAATTAAAAAAAAGATTTATTAAATATTTTGTCTTTTTTTTAATAAATTCAGACTTGCTATTTTCAAAGTGGTTTGATATTATCGTACTTTTGGGAATTTAAAGTTCTTCAATGTCCAAAAATGAAACTTTAATTTGCTTATTAAAATATTGCAAATGTCAAGACCTTGATTACTAATATATTAATAAATAATTAAATACATACACACATATTTATTATACTAAAAGGATACTTAAGGAACTTGTATGATGTAGTAAGATAAATCTTGATTTTAATGTTTAGTTTTTATGAATTAAATATAAATTTGAAAATAACATAAAAATTTGAAAAAAATAAACTAATATTAATATCAAATTAACTATTTAATAGTTCTCGTTTTTTTGGTGTAACTTTTTTAATTTAATTTTTTATTATAACTTAATTTAGATNGGTTATTTTGGCAAAACCTCTAAAATGTGGTTATTTTGTGGCAAAGGGTTGTGTAAACCGGTTATTTTTATAAATTTCCCTTATTTTTGCTCCCTCTCCCTACATCTAATCATTTTAAATTATTTTTTATTTTATTAATTAATAAATATATATATTACAATTTTTAATTTAATTAATTATATAAGAAATTCGTGTCGGATGTTTTACAGAAATTTAAAGTGATCTCGTATGTTAAAATGTGTTGTATGACTTGTTTTTATTTGACTAAAAGTAAAATGTTATGTCTAAAAGTGTTACGTTAAGTTTATGTAATGTTTATGTAGGTCGTGACAAGTTTTTTTTATATGATATTTTTGAAATAAATTGTTGTATTGACTATTTTATAGGACATTTTTGAAAAATATCATATAAACTCGTTTTTGTATGACATTTTTCAAATAGCGTCGTATAAAATAAAGCTAATACAATGCTTTATTTTAATAAGTTTTTAAAAACTTGTTGGGACGGATAAAAACGTCTTATAAAATTATTGTAAAACTTTTAGATATAACGTTTTGTTTTTTTGATTTTATAAAATTAAGTACTATAAAACATTTTGTTAAGACATTTAAACATTTTAGGCGTTCTATAAGCTTTATTTTTGTATTGAAGACGAATATTTCACCCTCGTCGTATTTTTATGATGAATTTTTGATGAGTTATTTGCGCTACCACTAAACATGTATTGATTAAAAGCTTTTGTGTTAACATATTATGACCGTCAAAATTAATATATTTTGCTTTTGTTGTGTTAACCGTTTAAAACCTGCACCAATTAATTAACTTTCAATTTTGTGTGTGTATGCATGTTTGTGTAGATCTGTATATACATGTTTATAGTGGTGAATACAGAATATTCGACGAATAAAAGCACATTTTGGCGTTGAAGGCAGTAGCCGATCCGTAAATTTTGGGAACGACAAGGGTCGGAATTCAACTTTATAATTTTATTTGGAACTTGAAAATTAAAAGGGTTAAATTTGAAATTTTATGGGAGTCAAACCTACGTAGATCCGTCGATGTGGAGAAAGGGCAGTGCAACATGGCTCAATCGATCAATGATGATTTATTTGCTTTGCTATGATCAAAATAACTGATGATACTACACAACAATCCATCGTTATCCTTGTAATTATCATTGATGATGATCATAGTCAACAAAATATGATTCTTCTATGCTTTTTCTTCTTTTAAAATATAGCAAATTTTATTCACTAAATTATATAACTATAAAAAAATTTATATTCGGTCTCGTATAATAAGAAGAAAAAAGCGAAATGGGTTGATTGCACATATACATATTTATAAAATAGTCGAAAGTTTAGACTTTTTGTTTACTTTAACATTTTATTCAGCAGGTTGATAAATGAATATCCGAAGGAGTGGGTGGATTTATAGTTACTATCAGTAATCAAGTATAAAATTAATTAGGAAAAAACATACAAAATATTTCTAATTTGTATTTTTGGCAGATACAAAATTATTTTTGATTTTGTACTATTTTTAAAATTATATATTAGCACATGTGAAAAATAAGTATATTTAATGATTTTCCATTTGAAAGTTATTCATGTTAATGACATACTAAAAAGGTATTTGCGTAATACGACGAGATAAATCTTGATTTTAATGTTTAGTTTTTTATTCTGTCTCTATCGATATAATATGATTTTATGTGTTTTTGAAAAGGCGATAATGTTTTATTTTTGAATGAAATATAAATTTGAAAATATCATAAAAATTTGAAAAAAAAATAAATTGATATTAATATCAAATTAACTATTTAATAGTTCTCGTTTTTTTGGTGTAACTTTTTTAATTTAATTTTTTATTATAAYTTAATTTAGATTTAATAACAAAGTAATTTAGTTTTGGTTTAATAATATAATTTTTTTATAAAGATAATAATTAAACATTCTGTTAAAACTTAATGATTATCTTAATTGTATTTTAGATTTTTTATATTTAAAATGGATGTTTCCTGTATTTGATTATATTTATCTGCAGTTAGTTACATGAATTTAAAAATAAAGCTTTAATAAGTTGTACATATGTAAAATTACTTGTAATTTTGTATTTTAAGTAACATGACCAATAAACAGTACTTCATGCATAAAAAAAATGATTTTTAAGAGTTTTTGTCAAATGCTTTATAATATAGTATAGATATGCATGAAGGTGAAAATATGGTAAATAAGTAAACAATCTTATAAATTTGTACCAAGAGCAAATAATCAAATATATTTATAAAAAACAGTATAAACATTTATATGAATCTTGTATTGGATCAAATTATGTTTGACAACCATAAGCTAATTTTTTAAAATTTATTGAAAAACCTAGTTTAATATATGTTATATGCTGGTCTTTTTAATGAATTATTGGTGTCTGATGCTTCTTGTTTAAATATGATAGAACCTTAGATCATGTGTCATCGATGCTTCTTGTTTAATCGATCTTGGTGTTATTCTCTGTTTCATCGATGCTTCTTAAATTGTTTGCATGTAATAACCCCAAGTTCTAAAATTTTAGAAAATTATGAAGTTGAAGGGTGATACGGAAACGTGACATTAATTGCAGAGATTAAATGTTTAAATTGGTGAATAAAGAGGTGATTCCTTAATTCCATCTCATTTGGAATCGTCTAAGAACTCTAGTGTGTGTGTATATGCGAATTTGGAGGTGGAGATGAGTAGAGATGAAGCTGATCGAAGATCGAAGGAGATTTAAGAGGTTTGAGATCAATCTCAGGTATGATCATCCTTGCCTTTTATGTTTATCCTCTTTTAGTAATGTTGAGCATTGAGGGATTTAGGGTTCAAGGTGTTTGATGAACGATTTTTGTTGGAAAATGAATTTACTATTGGGATTTGGAGGTTGGGGCTGGTTTTTGTTGTTTTCCTTATCTAATTGTTAGCCATGGTTATTGGGTAGGATTCAATCAAGAACCCTAAGAATGTTGAACGATCCACTAAATCAGAGTTCTAATTGAACCGTATGGTTAGATGTATGGGTAAGGTGTGAGGTAAATCATATTGCTACTCTAGCATGTTTTGCATCTCATTTATGAGGGAAATTAGGGTGGTTTTGGGTTTGAAGTTCTAGAAATCGAACCAAGAGCTGCACAGGGGAAACAGTGGTCCTCGCAGGTTGTCCCACGACCTAGCCGTGTGCCAGGTTGTGTAACCTATTGTGCCATGTTTTTAGATGTTGCATAGGGGTAATTTGGGGTTGTGGTTGGAGTCCTTACTTTAAGGGGTGCTATTGGGTTGTAATTAGGGTACTAACTCGCCATTTGAATGGCCCAATTCAGATGTTCGGTTCATGAGGTTCTAGCCTAAGGGTGTATAATTAGGCTTGGACCTCAAGTTAGTTTCCTCGTATCATTTTCTTACTAATGGTGGCTTGTATTCACGTGGAAGGCGCTTTATATCTATTTACTCATATTGAAGAACTGTATACATTGATAAGTGGTTTTAAATCTTTATGCAAGTGTGAGTGGGTGAAGTTTTACCATATGGGAGGTGTGTACCCCAACTGTAGCACATGAATTTGTTTTATGTTGCTCATGTTAAGGGCGAGTGTGAGCGGAAATGGTTGGTCACAAGTGTGCCGTGTGTGTGACCATAAATGTGTTCAACTGTTGCAACGGGTATTTGCGTTTTGTGATTTAAGTGTGCATACTTAATGTTTTCAAATTACATTTATAGTTCTGTATTCATCATGAACTCTTGTATTTGATGGAATTCACTAGACCTTTGGTTTAACCTTCGTTTTTATAAAACTGAAAACTTTTTCAGGAAAGTGTCACTTAGAGAGCTCTAGCATGGGCAAAGGGGAAGGTGTGGGCAGAAGGATTGAAGTGTGATCGAGTCTTCAAGATAGATAAGAGTAATGAACCTTGTTCTAGTTCTGTAATAAATCTCAGCAGTGTATTTTATTTCTGCTGCAACTCTTGAGATAATTTTGGGAATGAAGAGCTCTAGCATGGGCAAAGGGGAAGGTGTGGGCTGAAGGATTGAAGTGTGAGCGGGTCTTCAAGATAGATAAGAGTAATGAACCTTGTTCTAGTTCTGTAATACATCTCAGCAGTGTATTTTATTTCTGCTGCAAATCTTGAGATAGTTTTGGGAATGTTAGCCTTGTTTACGCTTTTATTGTTGTTGTTTTGGGCAAATTCTAAGATTACCCTATTTTAAATTCCCGGTTGTTACATTGCATATTTGAGTTCTTAAATAGGT